GACCACTTGCTTCGCTGATTTCAGTTATTCACAGCAGGGAGCAAGGCCTTGGGAGAAGGGCCATCCATCCTGTGACATCCAATTAATGACTGCAAGAATGAAACAGGGAAACAGAATTTAGGCAACAAAAGGAGGCAGGATGTAAGTATAGAGGGCTTGAGTTAGTGAGATTTTGCCGCAATTTAGTTATATTTTCCATTTGTGACCAAAGTGACAGTGAGAGGAGAGGCCTTGGCAGGGAAGCGGGCAGGACGGGGTGGGTCATGCCCTAGTTGGTGCTACACGTGCATTGCATTTCACTGAGTAGATCCTGTTTACATCTTGGACTACACGATAACGTGAATACTGATAACATTAATTGCACTGCATATATATGCAGGATTTAAATTAATTAAGCAGTTTTGAGGTAAGGGCTTAAGAAAATACTCATGAAGCCAGAATTATTAGTAACATTACTCACTTCTGACCAGTTAAACCAGATACTGGTTAGTCTAGGCTAAGGGGAAGGGGAAGGGGCTGACGAGGAGACAGGGATGGGAGCATCAGGTCCTTGGTGCCCTGGAGGCTGAAGAACTCGGGAGGGAGCCCAGCTGCTGCCGTGGCCCACACATGACAGGCCAGAGAGCAGAACCAGAAAGAAGGGCTGAGACATGTGGACTGCCAAGGCTGTAGGCAGTACTAGTCTCTGTCTCACCCTTTGCAGACCTCTCCTTGCTGAACCTTGAGCACACAGAACAATCTTTCATTTTTAAAGATTGTATTTATTTATTTGACACAGAGAGAGAGAGAGAGAGAGAGAGAGAGAGCACAAATACAGAGAGAGAAGCAGACTCCTCACTGAGCAGGGAGCCCGATGCAGGACTTGATCCCAGGACCCCAGGATCATGACATGAGCTGAAGGCAGACACTTAACCAAATGATCCACCTGGGCACCCCCAGAGCAGTCTTTTAAAAGCATAAATCAGATCATGTTGCTTTTTGGTTTAAAACTTCTCTGTTGCACATGGACACTTGAAATCTTTGAGTTACCCTTATTTCTTCAGTTTATGCCTTTCCTTCTCCATAGAAGAGGGCTTGAGGAGGAGAAAAGATTTAGTCAGTATTCCCTTATTCAGCACTGAAGATAAGACAGAAGAGGGGCAGCAGGGTGGCTCAGTCGGTTGGGCCTCCTGTTCTAGGTTTAGGGTCAAGTTGCGATCTCGCGGTTGTAGGATAGAGCCCCATGTCTGGTTCTGAGATAGAAATGGAACCTGCTTAGAATTCTCTCTCCCTCACTCTGCCCCTCCGCCACTCCCTCTCTTTCTCTTAAATAAATAAATAAATAAATAAATAAGAAAGAAGAAAACTGTGACCTGCTAAGTTCTTTCTACATTCCTTCTGAAACTGATCCTGCTTATTCAAATAGAATGTCTAAGATTACTTAGTCCAAGACCGTCCTTTTAAGGATAAAGAACCTGAGGCATGGGGGAGGCAGGTGACATGTTAGGTGAGTGTTAGAGCTAGACCAGAAGAACTCTTGTGTCCCAGCTCCTGGCCAAGTGACTTTGATGCCCCTGATGATGGACAGCTCTGCAGATGGAAGGACATTTTAGGCTGACAAGGAAGCATAGCAGGGCCAGATTGGAGGGCGTGGAGGAGGCACCTGGTAGGGAATGGAGAGGTCGTAAAGAATGAAAATATCTATTCCTGTTGGCCACGTCTCCAGGACAAACATGACTCCAAATGCTCCTTAATGGATGCCTAAACAGTGACACAGAAGAACCACAGGGATGGGCTGACCAAAGGCCATGACATGTCATTTATGCATAATGACTAAGCACCCCTGTTTATTCGCTCTTAACCCAGCTCTTTAACCTCGCTCTTTCCTTTTAAGTCATTGGAGACCTTCTCTACCATTCCTCTCCTTTCTTTTGGTTTTTGGCTGCTGTTTAGAATCTAGCTATGCATGTGTCTCAGATTCTAGGCCGAAGGAAGATGAAGAAGGTGATGATGATGAACCTGGGCCACATGACTTGCCTGCAGTATTTTGGTATTTTGAAAAAGGGCTATAGGGAAGAAGAATGAGCAGATTCATGAGTCAACATTCTATTTATCCCTCTGTTGTGAGGACTACTCCCTCTACTTCTTTTGTGAAGCATAATCATTTGTTAGTTTTAGTAAGACATTTCTCTGCCCACTGATAAGGAAACAAAAAGGCATTTACTGTGCTAGTCTCTAGAATGTGAAATGTAAGCTGTGGTCTTTTGTTTGTTTGTTTGTTTGTTTTTCGCTTTCATTTGTGATCACAGGCTTCAGGGTTGAAGGGGGCCTTGGAGGAGGGCCAGCCTCACCACCCCCTTCTGTGCAGGAAGCCCCTTCCCAACATCACCGCTGGTGGTTCTGAGCCCTTTCCTCAGCACCCCTGCAGCGAGCTGCCTCCGCCTCTGTAGAAACACTTACTTCATTTTGCTCTAAATTGCAGTTATTTGAGGACTTCTCTTGTTTCAGCTGTGAGCCCCTGAGGGCAGGAATCCTGCCTCATTCCTCTTTGATCTCCCACAGCCCCCATCACTGAGCCTGGCCAACTCTCCATAAATATTTGAATGAGTGACAAAGTGTTAACAGCCTCCAGAGGCCGCCACAGTTAGACACTTCTAAGAGCTAGAAGGTTCTTCCTATAAGTGAGCAGAAGTGTGCCTCCCTCTGTTCTCTGTGGGGAGCGAATGTAAAGAGGCAGTGATGGCAATGGGCTGGGCATCCATAAGATGTCCAGGAGGGACCCTGGGAGAAGCTGGTGCGCAGCTCTTGTTACTTTCCTTGCTTTCCATCTGGCCAAAGCACACAAAGATTTTCCCAGGACAGGAAAACCCAATAACACTAGATAAATCTGGATACATTGGGGTGGGGAAGAAGGTTTTCAGGATTTGAATCCAGTTTGGAAGGACAGCTCTATGACACACTGTCAATGTCATACCTGCATCTCCTCAGCCAGCCCTGAAGGTCAAAGGCAGGTGGCTCCCATAGAAACTGATAGCTTCCTGTATTTTTCTGCCCATGGTCACTCTCTGACCTGGGAGATGTGCTTGGCCTGTGTGTAGGTCAGTCTGGAAATGGAGTTACTCCAAAGAACCCTCAACCATGAGCAATCAGACTTGGTGCATAAATTCCCCAAATAGACCTCACCTCCCAGTGAGACAGCCTGAACTTGTTCTACACAGTTGCTTAAAAAGATTTCAGGAGGGATAACTCTAATTTCTTGTAGAATTAACCCATTAATAAATACATCCTTTATTCATTTTCTTTCCTTTTTTTCTTTGACTTGCCCTCTCCCTCACCTTGCTTTCTGCAGTCACTGCCAAATAAGTCATCCAACCCAAATTCTTGTCTCAAGGTCTGCTTTGGAGGCAACCCAAACTAAGACAAGTACACAAGCAGGAAATTTGGGGGAATCCAAATGTCATTCCCTTAGAAGACAAAACTATTAAAATCAGTACTTTTTTTCCTCTCTGTCTCTCTCTTTTTTTTCCAAGTACAGAGTTGGTTTTTCTGTCAGTTCTATAAATAGAGCTTAATTTTAAGTAGAATCTGTGTCCTAACTCGTAAAACAAGGCTGATAATGATTCCTCAATCTTTGAAGGATAGTTATTTCAAATAACAAGAGTAATATTCTGGTTCTGTTAAGGAAATGTACTGCATCAGAAACGTCTTAGGCCAGACTAAAGAAAGAGATTACACATGGGGATCATTAGACATCAGGATGAATTTGTGTTTGAGCACTACACTTAACCTTTTAAACTTCTACAGAGACCTTTTAAATGAACAGAGACCTTATCAACTTGGCTCAGGTTTGGGATGGAGGGCTTGAGGACAGGGACAGTTAAGATGAATAGGGCACATGAAGGAGGAGGGGAAGGAAAATAAAGAACCTTCACTTACCCGATATTAATGAACTACTCCTGAGCTCATAATAGAACCAGGAGAAAACACCATTGCTGAAGAATATTTCTTGTCAGTGGAGAAGATTTGCAACAAAGAACAAAGGTGCACAAGCAACTCGCCGCCCTAGTCCTTCTTCAGGCAGACATTGTGTGATTCAGAAAATCTCCCTGTGGATGCCATAATATTACTTGATTGTTTTGACACCTCAGACAATTAATAAGAGGTAGCAGTTAAAAATGATCATGCTTGCTGCTGTCTTATGTTTGTGGGGTTTTTCTTTTGCCTTGTTCCTTCCTGGAGGGTTTTCTGTTGGCCTGGTAGGAAACAGCACACATGGTCATGAATTTTTAATTGGCAATCAAAGATGGGAACGATTGTAAACAAAACACATGATGAGAGAAGTCAGCAGGGCCAGGAGAGCCTTACAAATGCTTTTTGGGGATAACCCACAGATGCCTTGTTGGAGTTAGGTAGGGGAATATCTCAAAGTCTAGTAAGGATAAGAAAAGGTTCCACCATTTTGGTTTGTTTTTAAATTTAATTTAAATTCCATTAGCCAACATACAGTACATCGTTAGTTTCAGATGTGGATTTTTAGCATGGAAGAATATTCTTTTTTGTTTGTTTTTTCTTAAAAGATTTATTTATATATTTTAGAAGGAGAGATAGAGGCAGGGGAAGAGCAGAGGGAGAGGGAGAGAGAATCTGAAGCAGACTCCCCGTGGAGTGTAGAGCCCATTGTAGGGCTTGATCCTGGGACCCTCTGAGATCATGACCTGAGCCAAAATCGAGAATTGGATGCTTAACCAACTGGGCCACCCCAGGTGCCCAGGATGTAAAATTTAAAAGGATCTAGTACATACAGAGCACATAACATAGCATACCTACCCAATAATAATTATTATTGGAAGAATGTTCTTCCAATATGCTCTCTTCATTTGCTCTCTTCGTTTAAATCTTGACTGATGGATGGACTTTCTGTTCTGAGTAGCCTCCTTCCCCAAATACTCACCCACCCCTGAAAGCGCTCAGTGGGTGTCGTTCTAGCTCGCCCCACTAACTCCCCCTCCTCTGCTTCCCAGAACGCCTATGTCAACATCAACCGCATCATGTCCGTGGCTTCCCGCCTCTCTGAGGCCGGTCATTATGCCTCACAGCAAATCAAGCAGATTTCCACCCAGCTGGACCAGGAGTGGAAGAGCTTCGCGGCTGCCTTGGATGAACGAAGCACCATCCTCGCCATGTCTGCAGTGTTCCACCAGAAGGCTGAGCAGGTGAGGCCAAGGGAGAGGCTGTGGAGGCTGTTGGTTGGAAGGGTGGGAGCACAAGCGCTGTCTGTGTAGAGAGCCCCTCCTCTCTCCCGGAAACAGTCAAGACCCTGCTGAGTCATTGCAGCGGTAACCTGTGTTCTACCACCTTCCTCGCTCCTGTGTACACAAGGACACATCGGTCACTCCAGGTGGCTTTGCTTAACATCCCAACAAGAAGGGACTTAGAGCTGTTTACATTCTGTTTGGTGGTTTATGGTTGTGTGTGTGCATGTGTGCGTGTGTGTTCACCACATTCCCAGAGCGTAGACAGAAGGGGTGAATCTAGATACTGATCACTGAGTGCTGAGAGCAGGGGGAAATTAATCTTACATGAAGCATTTGCTATGGATAGTGATAATGTAATAATTACACAGTGGATAAAAATAATAAGTATTCGTTTCTATTTACTTACTTGCGTTGGTCAGTGACATTACTCACCCATTTCACAGAGAAGAGCATGGCAGCTCAGAGAGATTAATGACCTACCCAGGAACCGGTGGTGTGTTGGAGCTGGCTCTAAGCAGCCTACGGGGAGCCAAATGTCAAATGTTCTGGAAATTTGTGAACCGGTTATTAAACATAGCCATTACTTAAAACTAAATTGTATAAATTTACGGTAAATATATTAAAAACAAAGGTAATAGAGACTCAAAACTCATCACTCTTGGTTACTTTACTACATTTTATTATTACTTATGTTCTGTGTGTGTTCACACACACACACACACACATATGCTGGTGATTAAACATTTACTAACACACCACTGTGAAAATCACACAATTCATGAACAGCTGGGATTTCACCTGAGATGTGTCTAACATTAAAGCTTGTGGTTTTAACCTCTAAATTTCTTTCTTTGTATGACATTTGGGTAGCATACAGATGGTGGAGAGGCCTAGATGAGGTAATACCTTAAATCTCTCCCTGCGTTGGGCCCACCTAACCCAGAAGGCAGCATGGGATAATTGAAAGAGTCTAAGCTCTGCGGCCAGGCACATGTAGCTTCCAATCATTAACTCTTAGGCAAGTCACCTCACCATTTTTGGCTTGTTTTCTCATCTCTAATGCAAGATAATCATAAATCTCACAGCGCTAATATAAGAATAGAGACGAAACATGTAAGGTGCTTATTGTGCTTTTTAAATGCTAGACATTACTACTGTATTTATGCAACATATTATCCTGGTATGTTTATATTTCCCTCACCTGTGTGAGGTGAAGGAGAAATCCTGAGACCTTCCCAAAGACTGAAATACTTGTGTCATAAGTCAGGGGCAGCCCCACACATTGAAAGGAATCTAGACCTTTTTTCTTTTTTTTTTTTTTAAGGATCATGGTGGTAATGACTGATCATGACTGGTTCGTGTCCAGGCCCAGGAGAGCGTTCATGTCAAATCTCCAGCTCTCTCTTCAACCCTACCACTTGCACATTTTGTTCAAAGTTTGTCCAGATTGGCAAGGGAGACTCAGTGCTTCCCTTGCTGTATCCCTGCCTTTCTCTCCTTGAGCTGACCATTTTGTGTGGTCTGCTGTAGGATTCTTAGAATACTCTGTTAGAGTATTACAGAGAAATCCGAAGGGCCTTGGAGAGGTGCTTCTGCCATGGTTGACAGACGAACGTCAAGTTGCTTTCAGGTTCCTCCATGAAATGGTTATTGGAGGAGCAAAGAAGCTGCTGAGATGTTAGCAAGCATATGCAGTCCGAGGCTGGATGGCACCCAGCACGCTTCCAGAATTATTAAGGGCTGGCCTAATGGGATAAGAACATCCAGAATGAAAAACTACCCAGGACAGCCACCAGGCCAGGGCCTGCGAGCTGATGGACACCGGACTAGAACTCCAGGGGTTGCGGAAAGCTCGATGCCCGACCCGGGAGTGATGGGCGGAGTCAGTGTCTAGCTGATGTTGCCTGGCTTAGACTGCTTTGGATCAGAAGCAATTTTATTTGTATCTATTTTTTAATGCAATTTCCTCAGGTAGTACCGGTCCTCCAGGGAAACTCATAAACCATGCTTCCTTTTAGCTGGGGGAGAAAAAACAAACACACACCAAACAACAGATTTGAGGCTATTTTTTCAAGGTTATTATGCGTTCATTTAGGCAGCTCTTTATTGTCCTCATATGGGCTGTTCTGGGCAACGAGATAGAAAGATATTTAGGCAATTAATTTAAATGGAGCTGTGCACCCAGGCGAGAGGAATCACAGACAGAACCATTCCAGACTGTTGGGTGAAGAATTATCTGCATTTTAGAGGTGTGTTTTTCCTCCCAATAAATCTGAGTGGTTTCAGTTAGCTCACCTTTTGTGCATGGAGACCCAGGGTGTTCCACAGTTGTTAATTTTAATTTTTAAATAATTTGCTTTCTGTCGAGATCTGTATCTCTATATCACATCCCAGGAACCAGTGCCGCCATTGTCATGGCGCCGTCTGTCCCCCTCAGCTGCCCCTCCCCTCCCGCAGCCCGAAGCATACTGACCCAACAGTGGGGAGCTCGGGGAGCATTCATCTCCATCCCCTGTGGGAATGGCCTCTGCAAGTTCCCTGGGGTACCTGATGGCTTTGTAGGAGCTGTTCTCTATTCCTCCTCACAACCCATTGTCCACGTGGAGAAGCATCCCATTTTACCTGGCACGCAGCCTCTCCCGTGTGAGTGTGCACAGGATGAGAAGCTCTGAGGTGTACGTGTAAGATAGTGAGCTGACCCCACACATTGTAGTCAGTGTGTGGATACAGCCTGTTGAACACACAGGTGGCTCGCACCCCAACGGTTTCACAACAGTCATCCTTGTTTGTGGAAACCACACTTCCTACAAAGGTGCCATGTCCGGCTTCTTTCGTGGGGTTGATGTTTGTAGAATTAAAGAGAAAGACTCCACCCTCTGCATTGGCCTCTGAGGCTCCCAGAGGTCCTGATGCTTCTTCCCAAGGTCCATCGCCTGCCCCTAGCACTCCCGCACTGACGCAGCTGCTATGTCCTTCCAGTTCCTGTCGGGAGTGGACGCCTGGTGCAAGATGTGCAGTGAGGGGGGCCTGCCCTCCGAGATGCAGGACCTGGAGCTGGCCATCCACCACCACCAATCCTTGTATGAGCAGGTGACCCAGGCCTACACAGAGGTGAGGACCTTGCAGGACACGCGGGGCTCGTGGGGTGTGTGGATGTGGGTTAACGACAAGAGCATTGACCTGTACCTTGTGTAATAGCCTGGGTAGGACCAAGAAGAAAGACATCATCTCTCTCCCCTCGGAGACATCTTTAAGATCCTTGAGCTATGAATAATGAGATCTCCAGCCAGGAAACAGAGACAATGCAGCCTTCAGTGGGCTCCACCTGCCGCACACGGGCCTGTGTGTGTATGTGCACGCATGTATACCTCCCTCACTCTTGCATGAAGATCAGACTCTCTACCCTGGGACACAAATATGAGGAAGCAAGGCTGTGCTCCTCAGGGTGCTTTCTGGCTGGTGGGCGGTTGTATACACGCCAGGCCTGCCACCCCTTTAATGAAGAGGCTTGTCAACGAATACCCATTTTCTCACCAGAAAGTACAGAGGAGAACTCACCATGGGGTGGAGAGAAGTGTTTGCAGGAGTGAGAAGCTGCCACGGAAGTGAAGGACAAGTTAAAAGACTATTTCACTGAAAAATCTAAGGCTGGGTGCGTGGTTCAAGTTAAGAAGGCAGGGTGTGGGGGGGGGGGTCTTTTGCTTTCCAAGGAAAAAGAAGGGGGCATATGGGTGCATCTTTGTGGACATACACAAGTGAGTGAGTTGACTAACTGGCGTGAATTCTCGGGGAGAGGCTGAGGGCCATAAAGAGATGGGCTAATTAAGGAAACTGAATGAGGAGGGGAAAGTGAATTCACATCGGGCCTATATGGCAAGGAGAGTTGGAGCTGTGTTTCTCCAAGTGGTTTCTGGGACCACCTGCCTCAGACTTGTTCCTGTGCTCCGCCTCAGACTGCGTCAGAATGTGAAGAAGTAGGACCTGGAATCTATATTTTAGTTAATGTTACCCCGGGGAAATCTGACGCACGCATGCTGAAGTCAAAGAACCAAGGGCTTCTGGGTGAGAGTAAAGGTTTTTGCCACAGTCAAAGCGAAGTTTGACTTTTAACCCCCTGCTTATCGGCGTGACTTTAGGCAAGTTACCTAGGTACTCTAAATCTCACTTTCTTCTGTGAAATAAGGGTGATAACACTTGCCTATAGTTTGAAGAGTTACAAAGATAGTGCCCATGTAATGTCGGTGGCCCCATGCCTGACAGTAATTAGTGCTGAAAAAACAATGGTATCGTGTTTTGGTATTAGAGGAGGCAATGGGGAAGACTTGTGGGACAGATCTGATCTCATCAGCTTTGATCCAAATGGCCCAAGGCTTTCTCTTAGAAAAGAACTGTGGGTCAAGAATCTCTAAATTTACTCCTCATAAGATATGAACATAGAGCGTACAAGTGAGATTCATATCAGGCTTACATGTTTCACACTTGGCGGGGGCGGCGTTTGTGTCAGAGAGTGACACAGTATTTCTCCCCGTGTTTTCTCAGGCCCCAGCACTGGGGGACACAGACACTCCCTCCAAGCCCACGTCAGAGGTCAGTGGGCTGTCCCTGCCTCCCTGTCCCTGCACTTGCAGACTGAGGCAGAGAGCTAGAGCTCTGTTGACTTGGATTTTAGGACTTGGCCTTCATCTCTAACCACTCTGGACCTGGACATAGCACGGTGCCAAAGAGCCCATCTGCTTGGAGTTCCCTGAGTAGAGCTCTCCTGGGTTTGGCCACAGGCTGTTTGTCTTACTAACATCTCTGGAGGGTGTTACCTTTGTATCACTGATGAAGCCCTTGCACTTCGCCTCCCCTGGCAGTGCATTTCTGGAGGCTGGCATGTGGGTAGAGGTGGTCATGTAGCAAGCTGTATGCTTCTAGCCAGGCTTCCTCTCCTGTCTCAACTACAGTACTCTCGGCCTAGTGTTCCTCTTAGTCACCTGCCCTCCCAGCCCCACACCGTTTCTGTTGCCCCATGAACAGGGGGTAACAGATGCCTGTGTGTTGCCGAACCCTCAGCAAGCTATCATCAGACATGAGGGTGGGGCGGAGGGAGGCTGGAGCCCAGCAAACAGCTCCTCATTCATCATTATAAGGCAGGAGGTAGGAGCACGCTTACTTCCCCACCTTGCTAGAAGGGAAAGACCGTTTCAACTCCAAACCAACTTTGATTTAATCATTAACCAAATCAATTTAGGGCCTTACAGTCCCTGGTCACCACTGGTTTAAACTGAAAAGATGTATGGTCTACTGTGTCCTCGGCCAGCACTGGAGAGCCACAGGTGTTGATCAGATGATGCCTCTTTCCAGAAATACGGGTGCCTGTTATTGTACCCAGATTCCAATAAGGAATGACAGGGGCTGTCAGCCCCACAGGTCTCAGCACTGAGGGTGGATGTTGGGAAGCGTATGAGCATGAGTATTGGGTCTGTAGTCTTAGGGTCCCTCCCTTAACCCTGCATATTCTGGAAAGACGGGGATATTACCACTCTCAGCAGAAATCAAAGAAGTTGTATAGAAGGAGAGCAAAAGAAGGGTAAATATAAAAGAAAATGAGGAGGAAATCAGGAAGACAGGAGAGAGAAATGGAGCTGATAAAGATGCTGATGGTGAAAACAGAATTAGGAGCCAGTCCTCCCTACCTGGCCCTGTTCTGAACACTCCCTGTGTTAACTCGCTCAGTCCTCACCACAACTCCATGAGGTTGTCCCCATTCTATCCCTATTTTCCCTATTTCTAACCCTTCAGGAAACTGAGGCCCAGAGAAGTTAAGTAACTTGCCTCCAGTCACACATTAAGATGTTCAGAGCTAGGTCAAGGAGATGAGGAAGAAAGAGGGAGAGAGGTTTATGGCATTAACTTATATTTTGCTTCATTTCTGAACTGAAGTTCAGTCAAAAGATGTACCACGTGCGTGCGATGGCCCAGGCTCTGTTCTGAGTGCTGGGGATGGAGGATCAAGACAGAGGGAGTCCCTGCCCAGTGCAAGGGTGGGGAAAGACACTGACTGAGCAGTCCCTATCCCAGGATTCTGGTGCTCTGCCCTCCCCCAGGCTGCGGGCTGAGCACTGGGCCTCTCTGGCTGGTGCATGCCTCCAGTGTCCTGGGATTCTGGGTTCCCGTGAGGGAGCCCCCCAGCCAGCTGACCCTCCCCATCGCCCTGGGTCCCTGCCCGCTCCTAGCTTCTCTCAATTTGACCTCTCCCTCTTGCAGGTCAGCCAGGATGGCAAAGCCCTGCTGGATGTGCTGCAGCGGCCCCTGAGCCCCGGGAACTCTGAGTCCCTCACAGCCACTGCCAACTACTCCAAGGCGGTGCACCAGGTGCTGGATGTGGTGCATGAGGTGCTGCACCACCAGCGGCGGCTCGAGAGCATCTGGCAGCACCGCAAGGTGCGGCTCCACCAGCGGCTGCAGCTCTGTGTCTTCCAACAGGACGTGCAGCAGGTAATGCCCCCCCCCCACCCCTGGCAGGCAGACAGCCTGAGGCCCTGACCCTAAGGCTCTGACCTGGGGGGATCAGGTCTGGGAACCCCTGCTGCCTGGGGGAAGGGGGCCATTCAGCCCCAGCTGGCCCCCACCCTACCCCACACGGTACCCTCTGGACTTCCTGCCTAAGGAGCCCCTCTCCCATGGGCCGGTGACCTCTCTGGGGTGGGGAAGGGGAGACAAAGCACTTCCGTCTGGTTGCATAGCTGGTTTTCTTTGTGGGAGAGTTTGACCCTCACTCGGGCAGGAGCTTTCTAGATGAGTCCAGGGTAGGGGTGCAGGAGGGTGGTATTTGAGCACTGTCAGAGTTGGACCACGCACAATGAGCTCACTTCTCCATCAAGGATACTTGTGGTCTGCTGAAGCTGGGGTGTGGTTGGGGTACAGGACCTTCAGGGGATTCTTCGGCCAGGTCTTACTTGGCAAACAAGATTGAAAACATGGGCTCTTAATGATTAGAGGTTATTTCTGGCTTAATCTGTCTTTTTGCATTATTACACCAGTCATAGCTTTTCCCTTTACCATGAATGATAAAGAAATGGTTATGTTTTAACCATGAAAGGAAAGCCTTGCCACGAATATACCCTTTTGAATGAAATAGCCCATTCTTTTCCCCTCGTACTTTCTCTGTCTCTTTGGGGACCCCTGGGAGCTTTGCTCTGGTATGGGTATTCTGAGGCATGGGGAGCTGGTTGGGAGCCAGAGACTGAAGCTGGGACCTAACATCACCTCCCCGCTGATTTCACTGTGACAGGCAAGGGTGGGGGCACTCAAGCTGTCAGACCTTATTGTGGCCAGCACATAATTTCAAGTTTGTACATATAAAGTAACATTTCACACTCCTCTACCCTCTGTGGACTCGGCCAGTTGTAATCAAAAAGTGTATTGAAATACACAGGGAACATAAGAGCCAGCGGGACATGTCTTTGAAGTGTGGTCCCCTTCGCAGCTGCTGTTGGGAGGGGCCCCAGTGCTGGGTGCCCTGAGACAGAGGGAGGGGGGAGGGAGAGCAGGGCATCCTGTCACTGGCTGTGACACCCTCTGGGAAGGGATTCACTGGGCGACCAGTCCTGGGAGTACACAGACCTTCAGGAGCGTTTCTAAGTCTTGGGCTGCCCAGCTTTGTTGCAGGCACCCCTGCTGCCCCAGGCTGGGGCAAGTGACTGAGTCATCAGAGGCAACACCTGAGCCTCAGGAGAGAGGCTCAGGGCACATAAGGGCATTTATGTGCTGGCCTCAGCTCCCAAACCCTTGTGGGGCCTGCCAGGAATGGACAAGCAAATGAATCAGTTGCCTACTCGTGCCATCTGGAACTCTCCAGATAAATACATCATCCCAGGGCAGAGGGGAGCACGGAGTCCATCTGTGATTGAGACGGAGTGAGGTGCCAGCCTCTGGAGGCACACACGGGCCTGTGACTATTTTAGGGAATACGGAGTGACTCATGGAGGGAACCCGGCTGCAGGTTGTACCGTGTCCTTGGTGTGCTCCTTGCCTTCCCACTGGTTCTGTGGCTGTTGCCCCAGGGTGGGCACTGGAGAGAGGGCAGAGGGGCTGCAAGAGGGGTGGGCAAAAGGCCTCCCCAGCAGGAAGGTGACATCCAGACTTTTCTGTGGCCACCACGACATACACACAGAAGCTAGGAAGAAAAAATAGTAAAAGCTACACCTGGGGCCATTCTATGTCATGCTCTTATAAATGAGAGTATTTCCTGGGTGGTGGACATTGAGGAGGGTATATGCTATGGTGAGTGCTGTGAAGTGTGTAAGCCTGATGAATCACAGACCTGTACCCTGGGGCAAATAACACATTGTATGTTAATTAAAAAATGAGAGTATTTCTGAAATTGAGATGCTATCAATTCATCTCCACCATACCGATCATATTGTTGGCACTGAGGAAAAGCAAGTAGAAGGTTATGAGGTTGATGTGATGGGTTCAGATGTGATGGGTTCATCCCTAGGATGGTAATTCCATTGTTCTCTTCTGGATGTGTGACTCTCACTTCTGGAACATAACTTCATTCCCCCGTTGTCCCACACAGGCTCCCACTCCCTGTGTCAGTGACACTGGCCCAGAGGAGCACAGGTGAGTGTGGAGAAGCAAGGGTTGCTGAATCCACTGGAGGGTCTCCAGTGCTTGGCTTATTCCTAGTCAGTCATTGGTGCCCAGCAGGTGTCTGAGCTGGTGCGTCAGAGGTCTTCGGGACGTGAGGCACTCAACAGTTAGGGTGAAAGACTTGGACTTGGCTCTCCTGACTCCAACTCCTGACTGAAACATTATATATTTATCATTTTTATTTTGCATGTTTCATCTCATTGATTCTCTGTCTCCTGAAGAGTAGAAACCATGGCTGCTGCTTCTCTGTGCACCTCCCAACTCTTGACTCTATCTGCCATGAAGCTGGGATTCTCTTTATATTTGCTGACTTGAGCTGGAATTATGATCAGAAGACCCCCAGTTCCTGTATCTGTGGGGTGGACACCATTGACACCCTTCCCGCATGGCCTGTGTGGTAATTGCTCATGTGTGGTTGCAGTCTGCCTGCAGGGATGCTGATGGGAGCGTCTCGCGGCTCCCAGGTATTTACAGACAAGGTGGAGGACACAGGGACACGGCCTCAGGGCTCACGAAGTCTGCTGGCGCTCATCAGTTCTTCAGAAAGCTCTGTCTTCTGCCCTGGGCCTGGAACCGCACTGTGTGACGCTCTGGCAAGATGCCTGGTTTGTTAGAACAAGACATCCGCATGTGAAACTATAAAGAACAGTTCAAGCAGAATGTGCCATCAGTATGCAGGGCGGTAGAGTAGTGATGGAACAGTTGTAGGCCGAGGCACAAGAAGTCAGAGTTGGGGTCTGGAGGGAGGAGAGAATCGACTAATCTGTATGGTCTGGGCCCAAGATTCTTGAGCACATTCAGGGTCCAGAGGTGTTGACTCAGCAGCCTCAGTGGAGAGCTGGTGAGCGATCGTCTGTGGCTGGAATACAGGATTCTGCCCAGGAACACTGGCTCTGTGGTCAGACCCCTGGGCATAAATCCTGTTATCAAGTCTTGGCTGCAGGACTGGGCAAGGGATTCCACCTCTGGTGCTTCTGGAATGATCATAGTACCTATCCCAGTGGACTGAATGAGAGACCAGGACAAGGCTCAGCACCCTGGCGGCATAGCACAAAGGGAGGCCTCCATTAGTGTGGTCTGGTTCAGCATCCCCATCCTCTGAGTGGGACTTGGGCGCCCCCTGGTGCTCGTGCTGTTGGGACCCCAGCATGGTTCTCCTGTTTGGAAAATAGTGATTGCTTTGGGGGTCTGCCAAGTTCTGTTTCATTCAGTGATCAAACCTCAGAGCTGTCAGAGACCTGAAAGACCATCTAATCTAACCTACACTGTGATGGAAGAACTTGAGGTCTAGAGATGTGAAATAACATGGCCGCGACCATGCAGCTCATTAATGTAGTGCCCGGACTGGAAACTGAGTCTTCTGGCTCCCAGTCCAGGTAGTCTAGAGAAAAGACACACAAGAGAGGAACCAGGTAGACAGAGAAGGAGAGCAGGGAGGGAGACGGGAAGCACACATTCATGCTTCCATAGAGAGGGGAAAGACAGACCGACACGTGCACATAGCCCAAAACAGGGAAAGGAGGGAGACAGATAGCCAACGGGGACAGAGGAAGGAAGGGAGAGAGATTTGAAGATGGAGAGCAGAGAAACTGACATCCTTGGGATGGGAGGAGAAAGATAAAGAGGAAGGAGAGGGAGGGACAGAAGACAAAGAGACAGGAATGCCAGCTGGTTGAGGGAGAGGGCAGGACAGTGAGGTGGCCTCTGCCTGCCTGCCTGCTTGCCGCGTAGCCAATTCCGGGCATGGTTTTTGCCCAAGTAGGAATATTTTGCCCATTAAGGGCCCAAAGCAGAGTAAAGCAAGAAGATGAAAACCAAGGATAGACACGAGTGACAAAGAGATACCATTGAAACCTCTGCGGTCAGAATTGGCCTGGCACATCACCCTTGTGGCTGCTCTCCCTTGATTCAATCCCAACAGATGTGCTCAGGTTTCTCTTCCCTGCTGGGCTTAAAGGCAGAGGAAATCAGTTTCTAAGGATCAAACTGGAACTGGGGTTCATGGAGCAGCAGAAAATGTGGATGGGGCACACCTGCTTTTGTATCACTAGTGGAATAATTTTCAGTGCTATTGTTTTTCCTATTTAGAATGGGTTAGCACCAAGCAAGAGCCAAACAGGCACCCCATGACAACATCAGCCTATCTCCACTTCTGTCTCTTATCTTCCCCTAACTCCTGTGTGTTCCCAGAATGTGAGGGACCGCTTCCCAGCCCAGATAACGTGACTTCGTACTGAGAAGAAGAAGGAGTAGGTAGATTCTTGATCTTTCTTACAGATACGGTTTCCATTCCATTTTTTCCCTAGCCAGAGTAACGGTTTTTTGAATACTCTCTGCAGGCCATCTTGTTTTGCCTTCCTCTCTTTATCTTCTCCCTCTGTTTTTTACAAGAACAAACTGATGAAATGTTTTAGTACACCTCCTGTATGCAAGGCCCTGTGCTGGGAGTTAGGTCCCTCACTTGAGAGAAGACATATGCACTGAAGGATGAATGAATGGCATACGGCTGTCCGGGTTCAGAGCCAAAGAAGCAAAATAACAATGGGCCAGTAGAGTCAAAGCAGGGAATGATCCTTTTGGTTGGAGTGGGATGGCAGTGGTTCTTGGAGCTCAGGCAGAGGAAATAGAGTTGGTGTTCCCAGGGAAGGCCAGGAAGCAGAGGGCTAAGCGACAGCCAGGGGACAGGGAAGGGAGAGTCTAACTGGATGCCCACTCTTGGCAGAGCAGTGGGGGGAGGTAAGGCAGGAAGGGTGAGGAGTGGTCTTGGTGGTATGGATAGGACAGTGATGTTTGAGGCTCCAAGGCCCTTCCTTAAAAACAATGCCTTATAAGCAGTCCAG